TGGATGTGGGGGCGGGGCTGGGCGATAACTCATTTGTGCCTTAGTTTTCGGTTCGGCCTGGATACTGTGTCGGGATTAAACGATTTCAGAAACAGCAGCAGCTATAGGCGGCTATCTGGCCTGGCCCAGCCCCAAAAAGGGGGTAAGCAAGGGTAAGGGTGGGGTTAGGAAGGAAGGGAGGGGCACGTATATCAGGCGGACATAGCTCGTGCTCGTTCGGTCGGAGATAAGATGGGACGAAGAAACACCCGCTGGGGCCCTCGTTGCATCGGCCCCCTCCTCGCCTGGGCCGGGCCCCATCGGGGGGCAGGCGGTGGGGCGCGGGGCGGGCCGCAACGCTAGCCGGGCCTAAGTAGGTTTCTGAAGGCTCAAGGCGCACAAGAGGGCCAAACTTTTTGCCCATGTAGCCTTTGATTTGTTCTTATTGCTTTCCCATAGCACAAGTATGAGTTTCTATGTCCGTGAAAATAAATAACGCTCATGTTGTTTCTTACCCTGGCATAATTTGTAATCGACGGTATCTCCCACCTCCCACCCCCTTCAACCAATATCCTAGTTCCACGTCCACGGTGCCGCTCGCCTATCCTATGGCCGCTTCGAGCTCAATGGTAATACACCATTCCTAAACCATTCCGACTGAGATCAGTTTGACGTCACGAACGCTCCTAAACTTCCAGCAGTTCGCCTGCTGCCGCTGCTGCTGGCGCTGCTGCTGCTGGCGCCGTTACGCTTGAAGAGTTCTCAGCTAGGAGTCGCACGCGTGCTTCCCACCCCACTGGCGACAACCGACTCGGAACATGATCTGCCTGCGCCTGTGCTGCTGCTGTAACTTATCGGTTTGTAAGTTAAGTTACGAACGAGGCAGAGAGGCCGGGGCTGCACATCCAGTAAGACTGCGGCCTAAGCTCAGGATGACGAAGAGGTCCACTTTTCATTTAATTACGATTCACAAACGAATTCAGACGCATCAAAGAAGGGCGGTCTGCGGCGTCGTGGTATGGGTTGCACGCGTGAGAGACGCGTTTCGAGTCTCCAGTCCCAGACACAACGTCTCACGAGGCGAAGATAATGATAGCGCCTGCTGCGCGCCGGGTAGGCCAACCCGCCAAGCAGTCGTGTGAAGCCGGCGGCCCGCCCAGAGCACATACGGCCCTTGCGTGTTACCTCGCGGGACGTTCAAAATATGGGAGCGCCTCAGTATCCAACCTATCCTTTTGTGCCGAGTTGTCGGCTCGATCGTCCAGAAAGGGCGTCCGTTCGTCACAGGTTCATTCGGCAACTTCTGAGAGCTCGGCGCCTGCGAGACTGCGGGTAGGCCACCCCGCAGTGCGCGCATGCACTGCAGGCAAGATGTTGCCTACCTGCCAGGCGTTACGAGCACTCTCTGAGGCTGGACTAGGCAGGTTCGTAACGGTAAATGACGGGCGTACTTTTTGGACGATCCCTATGATGGAGGTGCCTAGAAGGTAGGTGATCATTTCTATCCTAGCCCGCGGACAAGGACGGGTGGTCTCTTTCCGTCTCTCATGGTGTTTTGCGATACCATTTGTTGTACCGTGGCGGTCATCAAGGGTTGGTTCTCTGCCGTCTTAACTTCTCTAGCTGGGTAGCCATTTGCAAGCCCGTTCTGTGACGCGCCTCGTTACCAGTTACTAGAGGACGAAACTTGCCGTGCTGCAGCAGCCCGGAACGGAGGTATTCCCTTTGAGCTTGGTTCCCCCAACGTCGGGGTTGTAATTAATTTTACGAACGCGCCACGACACAAGTTCGAACGTCGTCGTGAGCAAATGAGTGGGGTGCCACCGTTGCGCGGGGTGCGGACAGAGTTCGGGGCTCCACCGTTCTCCAGGGCCCGAGCCGTGTCGGCAGCCGTGGTCAGCAGTAAATACAGGCGCAGTCTTGTCAGGGGCTCGCATTCAACATCTTACTTGTACACCTGTCTTTCAAGCTGCATTCTGATAAGAACTCGCGTTCATGCCATGCTCATGCCATGCTCATGCCAAGCGCACGTGAGCGCAGCGTTGGGGCGTTGGTTCACTCACGCCGGCGTGAGCGCGAACTCACGCGATTTGATGAGGAAGTGTGCCTGTGTGTGTGTGTGGAGGGGGGGGGGGGAGCTGGAAGTCGCGCCGCTCAAATGCCCTACTAATTAAATTCTTTTAAAAAGAGGGCTTGACCGCATGTGCGGGAGTGCTGATCTTCCTCGAATCCCCGAATCTTCCGTTCCACCTTTATGAATTGCGATTCGGCTCATGCGGGGTTCTTTGACATTGACATTTACTGTAGGCGATAATATCTGATTATAATCACGATACATTGTGACGTTCACTCAGTCGAGTGGAAAGGAAGGAGGGGATGCAAGACAGAAATGCGTCCTCCATTATTACATTGGTTGTCATAGAGACTTAAGAGCGGTTCGTAAAAACAGAGCATCAAAAATGGCTTGCAACCCTTGCACATGCATTTTCTGGTTTCTGGTATTTCTTTTCATCGCATGGCCCGTGTCCTTCCTGTGCTACTTCATATTTTCGTTCGTCGGGCCGCTGGCTGGTTGCATCCAGTGCCTCGAACCCGTCGCAGACACCCTTATAGAGGGGGTCAGGTGGCCGCAGACGTGTGTCAAGAACATGTGTCACTGAACTGAAAACATTCGTGCAGCTGGGACGGGAGGGCTCTGCAACACCAAGTTCAAGTGGAAGACCACTATTTTGCCGTCGTAATACCATCAATTCCTTCTGCCACTGAATTCAAGACAGCAATGCACAAGAAAGATTTCAGAAGATTTCTAATTTACAGAAGAACAAAATTCTTGTCAGATAAAGACTTTTTTTTCTCTTTTGCGTCATGCATGGACATACAAATTTTATCATTAACTATTTACATTATTTTTGCTTGTTTCAAAAAATCATTAATTAGCTCAATTACAAAACCAGAAGCAGTTTTATAATGAACACTTATGTTCTGATTAAAAGCACAAAACGACAATAGTTACAAACAAACCTTAAACATTAAGAGACTTCAGCAATGTGTAAATACACTATTTTTAAAAGAAAACATCACACATTTACTCAAAGTTGAAAAAAAATCACAATTAAGATGACTTTACTCTTTCATAGAGATAGAGGTAACCAAGTTCTTTCGGTGGGTTTTCAGAAACTGCTACTTTGTTGTCATTGTAAATAACCCATTGCCCATCTTTGCGGATGTGGCACACATAATGTCCCACCATGGTGGAAGTTCCCATGTGAGAGATAAAAGCAACCAGGCGATACACTGAAACAGAAGATTAACATATTGAACAACAAAGTAAATACCACCTAGCTACATCTTGTGGAGACAGAGACAGTGATGCTTACAAGTGTTGCCATCACGGAATTCAGGCTCTGATATCTGGTTGCTCCCAGACGCTGAATCATCATCAAGTTCCTCAGGATGACTGAACACCCAATCAGCAGCACGGTCTAGCATGTTGTCTGTTGCTTTCAATGCCTTAATGGAATGAGCTCTTGAGAAACCTAGATTTAATAACTGAGCAAGATTTTCTTCATTGGGTACAAACCCATCCTTCCCTGTTGAAAAAAAATAAAAATAAAACTGAATCAATTGTTTTCCATTGACAACTAAGTATTTCATACTGTATGTGGTGCAGAGCCAAATAAACATCAAAGTAAGTAAAAGACGTTAACCCCCACCTGAAGAAGCATGACCAGGAGGCACAAATGGATCACTCAGATCGGCATCAGCAATATGCTCCATTATCCAATTGGTTGCAGCCTCCAGGCTAGAATTGTTGGTGAAGTAAAGTGCCTTGTCACAAGCCGCCTTGGGGAAACCCATTTCCATGAGCTGAGACATTAGTGCTTCATCAAAAACTGGGGCAGGTGGAGTTGAGGTATGCTCAGGCAAAGCTTCCTCATCTGGCCTCATCCCTGTCCCTCGCAGACTGGACAAGTCCAGTTCATCCGGCACCTCAACAGCAACATCCAGCTTTTTCGGTGTCCAGTCCTCCTGGATTGTGAACTTTTTCAGGTGAATGAGCAAATAATCAGGGAATGTTGCAAGACGTGTGGTCCTGAAGACAAGAATAAGGTTACTGTTTTAGAAAATAATGGGAATAGAGAACTCACAGTCATGAGCTTTTCTTACTTTTGGGCAACAACCTTCGCCTGACAGGCAGTGCTGAAAAAGCCATTGATGTTCTCAGCCTGAGTAAACACATCAAGGCAAGATGTGAGTTTTATGCGTGGCCGCACAATAGGAACATTGTCTCTGTAAGAAAATTGAGAAAGATGAAAAATAATTTAAAGATTAACAAGCAAAAATAAGAAAGAAATATACAAAGTATATTTCTGTGACTTACAATTTGATGCCCTTTTCTTCTGCCTCCTTTTTGCTCTTTTCATAAGCTTCTACTTCCTCTTTGTTGGTTGCCGCTTCAAGAGGGATTGGTAGAGGCAAACTGTACTCTGCCCTGTGTTGATACTGTACTTTTTTCGAAACTGTGCACTCATAACGTTCTTCTACTCTAAATTTGAAGCAATCAGCTGGATTCCTTGAATTTCGGCAATTGCGCTAATGAACCATATCATCCATTATTATTCATGCACTTAATGAAAGCTACTTAATAAAAACAAAATTCCTCACAAGATGAAATTTTTTATGCTTACTTCAAGAGTGTTAACAAGATGGAGGAAAAATTCTTGTGCATCTTGTTGACGCTTGGTAGCAAAATCGGAATTTCTTCCAATGAGGTTCTTAAACATAACAGCTGGAATTCCCTCTTGCTCACAATCTTTTGATTCTTCTGGAGGAGGTTGAGAGTATTTGCCAGATAATATTCCTGTGCCAAGCTTTGCCCTACAATAGTAAAAGTCATTGTTTGAGAGTGAGAAAAAACCAACATGCAACTGACACTATAATAGAAAAGAAAATTTAAAAAATGACTTACATTTGAAGATTAAAATCAGAGGAGGGATCAGCAGGTATGTTATGGAATATAATAGGGGCTTCTTCCACAAACCTAAGTAATGAAAGTTTTGTTTTTACTCATATTACTTATAACGAAACAAATTCAATTCAAAGACATAATTCTAAGAACAAGTTTATACCTTTCAACAAAATCAGGAATAGCAAATATGACTTGCATAACACTGTTAAGGTAACATGAGTTTCCAAGGTTTGCTAAACCAGTATAACCAGGTCCATAAAGAGGCTTCAATTGACTTCCAGATTCTTGCAAAGTGGACCATTCCCCCATTTTCTGATTTAGAGACAGTTCCAATTCCACCATTGATTTGTCAGTCTGAAATAGGATTATACATAGATAGCTATTATTATTATTTAAACAAAAACAATATTCGGTAACTGATCACTCCTGAAGAGGTCTGTCAAGCCTCATGTCATTACCTTCTCTAAGTTAGCAATGTTAATACCCCAGTGAGCTAGATGTTCCCTCAAATGTGGATCTTCAACCATGTCGTCTTCATCATAACTGAACACGTCACCCTTTCCATCCTTAGTTATGGTGCCCAATTTAACAGCCAAAGGGTAGCCTGGAATAGTTGATTGATTTACTAATAACTTAAATACATATTTGATTTGGGACATGACAGAAAGAGGATACAAAGAAGAACTGTAGATTTAATTATATCCAAATGATTTTTCTTACCTGAATTTCTGTAGTGCTCCACAGCATGGTCATTGCCACCTGATCCATCAAAAAATTTTCGGCCACATAGAATAGAGCCATCTGTTAGATTCAGCCATAAGTTGGTTTCCAAATCACACTTTTCACATTTCCAGCCACTTGGGGGTATCTTGCGTCCATTATCTAGCTGAGGTAGATTGGCAGCATGCCTAGACAAAGAGAAAGAGTAAATATATATTAATATGGTAGACTCCATAATTATTTCATAGTCAGTGTGTCTTCAATTCCCCAGAAGCGAAAAAGAAAAAAACACACCAAAAAAGAAAGGAAACAAAAACATGCTTAAGGAAAGCCAGCCAACAACAGGTGTCACAGTACTCACTTAGAAACAAGCCTTACTTCACCATCCCAAGTACCAGTCATAGATTCTAATTCAGCTGCCTCAGTAACTGACTGAGCTTCAAGAATAGCATTGACTGAAGCTTTAACCTGAACAGAAACTCAAAATTAGGATGTATGGTACAAAAGGGGGAGGTGCTCAAAGGAAAAGGAGCTTGATAGCATATTAGGAAACATACCTTATCAGGGATATCATCATTGGGCCAAGGAATCGAAACAAAGTCAGGAAGAATAACAATCTCCTGAGTTTCTTTGATATCAAACTTTTTACGTCCAGCATCTGGATCAAATCCTCCATCCACTCCAATGGCTAAGCGGGTGATCTTTTTCTCTGGGCCATCACCCTGCTGATCAACTGGTATCTGAAAATATGAGACAGTTTATGAATAATCAGTGCGACACGAGATCTTAACAAACATTACCCTTCCAACCAAGTCTTTTACTCACGGGAATTTTTTCTCGCTTCAAGTGAAGAAACAGGTTTCGGTTTGTTTCCTGGCTGTATGGCAGCACAAAATCCTTACCCAGGCCAAAAAAGGAATGGAGGCAAACATACAATCCGGTGGAGGTTAACTGGAAGACAGAAATAGTAAATTGTACAGTAAAGGGGGAATGTGACAGGTCTTAGATGAATGACAAGACAAGGTGAATAACATCATGGTTGTGTTAGAAACCTAACGGTGTGAAATATGGGGGATGAGCATAAAAGAACATGACACTGCGCAATATGAAGAATGTAATAGTCGTAAACTTCAAAGGGTTACAAGATAACCATCTAAAATAAAAACTGTGGCGAACAATATTAGTACCGAAAGTATTCGATCAAACAAGCACTTTAAAGCCGATCTGACATCCTAATCGCCATACCCGCCATAACCTCAGAAATTGTGTATGGACCCCGGCGGCTAGGTGTTACTCACAGGTGAATCGAAGGAATAGATACACTCTTCTTTGTACACTTTGTCTGACTTCGAGGGAATTCGAACGCTGTCCATATGGGCAACCAGAAGCGACAAGGGATCCATTGTTGGTTTGTTTCCTTCACAATGATCTTCACTTCAATTCGCACGTAGAATCAATCGATCGCCGCAAAGGTGTTTACTTCCGACTTGCCTTGCCTCCGCAATCCGACCGATAAACACAATGAGTGAACAAATGAATGGTCATCTATACTTCGTCACAGAGTTACGCTCGGTATGGAAAATTCAGCCACAGATATGTTAAAAAGCAAAAAAACTTCAGGCGTTTAACAGGAACAGCAGATGAAACTGACTTTGGAAAACAAAAGGAGTGTCGAGAACACGAATGTATTTTTTGCCGATACAGAAAATATGTCGAAGTGTTTTTAAATGTTTCCAATGCATAACTATCTTGAATAGTTGCGCCCATTGATTAACGATAGTCCTTTGTTGACCTCCTATGTCTCCCATGTGCCAAGCCAATCCTTTGGATCCTTTGGTGAAAACGGTGAAAAAAAAAGTCAAAGCAACAGCAAGCAGCCAAGCAGCGACAGCACGGTGTTTCGTTCATCCCGCCTTGTGAAGATTTGTTTCTGTTTTGGTGATGTCCGATATCTAAATTCTTCCGTGACCTTATCGTACGTAAAAATCATTTATCTTCTCTTTAGTTGTGTTCAAACAAAATTCTCTGGTAACCCTAGAAATAGCCAGTTAAAGTTCTAAATGTAAACACGGTACACCGGACCGGAGCTACCGCGCAATTTAGACTTCCTTCTGTATAATTTCGTTCAACTGTAATATTTTCCGTTACCGTCACTGACTGAGCATGCAATTTCCACTGTGTTGTGCATAATTCGGTCTATTAATGGTTGTTTATTTTTAAACGATTTTTGTAAGAGTGAATAGACACATCCCATAACCTCTAAGAAATGCGTCACTTTCTGAAACAAGAATTTATTCGAAGTTTTCCTTAATGAAGTTTTTGATTGTAATTTAGTTGGTTGTTTTATGACATCGATTATTTCGTCATGGAATAGATGCACCCTGACTTTTTCGTTTCCTGACAACTGTTAAACTTCATTTACTTACTGTCGTGAAATTCAGTTGGCTGTTGTTGTGCAATATATGAGCAGAAGATCATCTGTAGATCAACTAGTGCTCAAGGAAAATAACACATTTTTTAATCTTTCAGTTAGCCACTAAGGATGTTCAATCCATCAAAACCATTTGGTCAGCAGCAGCCCCCATTCAGTAAGCTTTACTTTTATTTTGTTTACTTCTTGTCAAATGCTTTCAGCGCATTCATACCCCTTTGCACTCTTTCTCCTCAGGTGGATTTGGAAGCCCTCAGCCCGCTGCCACTCCTTTTGGACAGATCGGCACAACATTTGCTAAGCCCGCCACTGGTTTCAGTGCACCTGCATTTGGCACACCCACAGGAACATCACTTTTTGGTCAGAATGCTCAACCAGCCACAACTGGTTTGTTTGGTGCTGCCAACAAAGGCACAGCATTTGGTCAACAACCTGCTCAAACAGGCTTTGGTAAGTAACATTACATCTTGTAGGGCTTGAGAAAAAAAAAAAAAATCTCTGTACCTAAAGCTCTTCCTTTCCAGGATTTCAATCTGCACCGACCCCTGGATTATTTGGTAGCCAACAACCTGCACAAACTGCAGCTCCTGCAACTGGTGGGCTATTTGGTGCAAGCACTTCCAATGCTTTTGGTCAAGCCAAACCTGCCTTTGGGTTCAGAGCTCCTGCTGCTGCTCCAACATTGTTTGGACAGCCTCAAACACAACAGGCACAAACTACCTCAGTATTCGGCAATACTGCCACACAAAGCTCGAGCATGTTTTCATCTCTCTCAGGTATGTGAAATTATTTTAGAAATGTCATAGAATCTCCTATAATCTGTTTAATTTTTGTTTTAAATCCTGTTTGGCTCTGTGCATCAGGTGGATTTGGAGGTACCACACAACAAGGCACCACTATCAAATATCAGCCCACAGCTGGAACTGATTCAATTTTGAAACATGGCCACACTCAAACTGTCACCACACGGCACTGTTGTATATCCACTATGAAAGAATATGAAAATAAATCCCTTGAAGAACTGCGATATGAAGATTATTTAGCAGGTCGTAAGGGCCCACAAAAAACAGGTGGTGTATTTGGAGCTGCTCAAGCTACTCCATCTCCATTTGGCGCTCCAAGCACAAGTACAACTGCGGGCGGTTTGTTTGGTAGTACAACCGAAAATAAGTCACTATTTGGCCAACCTTCTGCATCAATTGGTAAGTGCCCTGTAAAATAGATCTCTTTGTTTTAATCCCCCCATATTACACACCTGTATTTATTCCGACGTTCCACGTTATGTCCACCAGGCTTCGGTGCTCAACCAACCGGTTTTGGGACCACTGCTCAAACTGGAACCCTCTTTGGAAAGCCCACAGCTGGATTTGGTACAGCTACCACAGCAACTACTGGCTTCGGCTTCGGGAACACAACTACTCCTGCAAATCCGTTTGGTGCAAATACCCAGGCCAAACCCTTTGGGGGTATGAGATTTTATCATCTTTTTTTGCATATTTAATGTCTTGTAAAAAGGTGTTTTTCTGTATTCTACAATTATCTTTATTTTCATCTCTATTTTCCAGTTGCAGCTCCCCAAACCACAAATTTATTTGGTGCGCCAACTTCCCAGCCCAGTACAGGTTTTGGTATAACTCCTACAACTGGATTTGGTAGTTTTGCATCTCAGCCAAATCAGGTAAATACATATCTAGAAATTTAAAGTACAGTATTAATTTGATTTTGAATCTATGTTGTACCTGTATCATTTAAAACTTTATACCATAACTTTATTGTCTCCTCCTTATTTCAGAGCATTGGTCTGTTTAATCAGAACAAGCCTACATTCACTTTAGGCTCCAATAACTCAGCCTTCAACTTTGGACAAAACACGGCCACCACTGCTGGTACAACACTGTTTGGGGCTAAGACCACTGCACCCAGTTTCGGGGCTCCCACTGGATTTGGTGCTCCAGCAACAGGCACAACTGCCTTCTCTAATTCCTTTGGAGCACCCTCCACCACACAGTCCACCTCTCTTTTTACTGGAGCTGGTTTCAATAAGCCTGCCTCTGGGTTTGCATTTGGTCCTACTCCTGCCACTAGTAGTACAGGTAAGTTCTTTAGTGGTTGTACCTTTGGTAGTAAATTTAGTTTCCTGGGTTTGAAATGTTGAATGTCAATTTTGTTGTTTCTAGGCTTGGGGTTGAATTTAGGTCAGTCCTCACTTTTTGGAAACACTGCTCAAAAACCAGGAGGCCTGTTCTCAGGTGGTTCAACATTTGGAGCCCCCACCCTTGGTGCCACTTCAGGCTTTGGAGGTGGTGGTTCCCTTGGCACTGGCTTGAACCTTGGTGGAAACACAAATCTCGGAGCAGGTGGTGGTCTTGGTGGAGCTCCGACCAGTCAGAGCTCTCAACTTGCTCAGCAACAGCTCCTTGCCATGGCTCTCGTCCCATTTGGTGATTCACCTTTATTCCGAAATCTTTTGCCTTCTACTGGCCGTGCCAATGAAATGCTTCAGCCTACCAATCCTGCTGCTCAAAAGGCTGTCCTCAATGCATCGGCACAATATAAAGTCTCACCTAAAGGAGGACCCAAGATCAAGGTGAAAGTTGGATACCCAGCTCTCATTAAGAAGTCATTGTGTGAAGGTTTGGAAGAAGATGATGGAAGTACCAGTCAGACTTTCCAAGTTCGTCCAAATCCTAAGCGATTGAATATAACTCCAACTATATCAAATAATCGTTCTACAGTGGAATCAACATCTGTTCCTCAACCAAGTGCTACCCATGAGTCAGAAAAAGAGAATCTCTCTCCTTTGTCCCCCATCTCCCAGACCACTGCAGAGTCAGGAACAGCAGACTGGCTTCGTAAATCTCGAGATGTTGCAAAGCCTACCTCTTCCAATTATGGGAGGCGTTCACTAAATGAATCTGCCTTAAGTCATGATGATTCAGTTACCAACAATACCATTCATGAATTTAGAATGCAACAATCATCACCAGCTAGTCGCAAAGAAAATGAAGACCAGAGCATCTCAGTGGTATGCGTTCCATCATCAAGCCCGAGGACTGAGGATAAGGATGCTAACAGCAACAAGAGTAGCTCAAGTTCAGATGATAGCCATGACTTAGAAGACTCTGCCCCTCAACTTCTGGATGCAGAATCTCACCCAACTGGTATTATTTGTCGTCGAGTTGGCTATTACACCATACCATCCCTTGAAGAATTAACCAGTTACATGAGTGATGATGGAAGTTGCATTGTTGATAATTTCACTGTTGGTCGAGATGGATATGGAAATGTTTTCTTTGAAGACAAGTTTGATGTTGCAGATCTAAACTTGGACGAAATTGTCCATTTCCGTCACAAAGAAGTTGTCATTTATCCTGATGACCAGAGCAAACCTCCAATTGGGCAGGGACTTAATCGCCATGCGCAGGTCACATTAGATCGTGTTTGGCCTATGGATAAAACCACTCACAACCCTATCATGGATCCAGCTCGCTTAACCCAGATGGATTATGAGGGCAAACTGCGCCGAGTCTGCGCTAGAATGGATGCTAGATTTAAAGAATATCGTCCTCAGACTGGGTCATGGGTATTCACAGTTGACCATTTCTCTAAATATGGGTTGACGGATTCTGATGAAGAGGATGCACCTCCTGGTGCTCTCGCTAAAGCAGCAGCACTCAAGGCTGTAGCTTCTAAAGGAGTTCCACCTAAACAATCTCCATTGAGCAAAACCGCAGTTGTTCAAGGAGCTGTTGAATTGAAGAAACTTACTTCGGGGTTTGACACAGAAATGCTTGATACATCCCCTTCTCAGATCGCCAAGAAGTTTGCATCAGGTTATGAGGCAGATGTGATGGGAGAAACTGTCACCCATATCACAAGTCCGATGGGTCATCTAGCAAGAGAATCAGGCACATCTGCACGTAAAGTGCAGTTAATGAAAGCAACTTTTTGTATGGGTGGTGATGAAGATGATGACGTTGATATGTGCTCTTACCTTGACCCTCCTGCATTACCCTTCAGTGGCCTGGGTGGCGTAGGAGATGGTACAGAATACAGTGATGGGTCAGAAGAAGAAATAGCGTGTTCAGCTCCTGTTCTTTCAAGGCATGGTCTTCTGCGCACTCAATTTGCCCTGTCTGAAATGAGTGGACAAAGTATGCGCATTGATGTATCTCCAGCTGTGTCATCATTGGAAGCCAGTTCTAATTTTCAGCCAAGGAAGAGTGTTGGCCTTATTCCTGCTGTAGAAAAAGTTCAATTGCCAGTTATTGTTGACGAACCTAAAACTGTAGTCTTACAATTCAAAGGCAGAATTGACCCCCGTGTGATAAGTGGACAGTGCCTAGCTGATATGTCTCTAATGCGAGGGGCAAGCTTCAAAGTTGGATGGGGCTTAGATTCCAGGTTCTTTAGTCTTGAAGATGACTTCCAGCTATTGGATGCTAGTTCTAAAGGCCACAGTCTCAGCATTAAAATGTTGTCTACTGAAAAACCCTCTGTGTTTCAAGTTAGTATTTTCTTTTTTTTGAGTTGATTTTTCATAATTAAGATTTAGTGCTATAGATATATTGTTTCTTCAGGATTCAATTGAAGGTCATTTGAGAATTCAGTTAAGGTTCAGTGTGAGTGGAGTGCAAGGCTGTTGCCCCATTCGTGCACCTGCCAGTGGAACAGATGCTCTTCTTAAGCACCAACAAGAGGCTCAGAAAATAGCTGACTGTGATGATGATCTGCTTCTTAATTATCATCATCAAGTTTGGGAATTATGTGCAGCTTTGTGGGGTGATCTGCCTGAATTGGAAATTGAAGGAAGCAGTAAGTGTCTGACTTTCTATAATATTCCTTGTTGCTTATATCTATCTAGTGATAAATTTTCAATTTTGCTGTTTTTTCTAGCTAAAGATTTGAACACTCATTACACAACAATGATACGAAGGAAAGCAGTCTCTAAATGGCTAGAAACTGTAAGCAAACCACTTGTGGAGATGGAAACAAACAGGGTGTTCAAAAGTGATGCAGCTCAATACCCACTAAAAGAAGAATATCTGGAAGGTATTTTGTCTCTGCTCTCTGGGCGGCAGATATTGGAGGCTTGTCAGAAAGCACAGGACTATGGTACGAAACACTTTCATATTATCAGAAACTAATTGTGAGTTTACATAAAACTAATTTGCTTTTGTGCTTTTTGTGCAACAGGTGACCATTACTTGGCACAACTTCTATGCCAATTGTCTGGAAGTGCAGCTGTCCGCAAGTTTATGTGTGAGCAGCTTGATTCTTGGGAAAAGTCTAAAGCAGATGCTTTTATTGACCCACGGCGTCTGCGTTTGTATTTACTTGTTGCTGGTTTAGCCAACTATGAAACAAGTGAAGAATATTTTGTCAACACCTGTCATTTCCTGGATTGGAAGCGAGCCTTTGCAACTCACCTGTGGTAAAGCAACTGAATGATGACCCAGATAACTTTTTAGTTCTGCCAGTAGAGCGTATTAACATGCGTTATTTTGGTAACAGGTACATATGCAGTCCTATTGCTTCACTGGCAGACGCCCTCAAACTGTACCAGGAGGCTTTCAGTGCTTCTGACGAAGATAGTGGCAACGCATATGCTAAGAGACCAGATCCACCATACCTTGACACTCTTTCCGATGATTGCATTGTAACAGTTCATGGACGAAAACTGAATGATCTATGTTATCACCTTCTACAATTATACTGTGATAGATCCCATCCCTTGGAACAACTATTGAATCCAGCCACTCATACTGATGACCCACAGGATTATAGACTGAGGTAATTGTTAATTTTTGATGAACCCGTTATTTTGGATGTAGCTGAGATAAGTTTTAACACTTCCCTGTTATGTTGCAGCTGGACCCTAATGCAAGTTCTGAACAGCATTGATTATGCTCACTTGTCCCCTCTCTCACAATCAATAATCCATTCTGGCTTTGCCTCACAACTTGAAAATAATGGACTTTGGCATTGGGCCATATTTGTTTTATTGCACCTCAAAGACGATTATGCTAGAAAGTCTTCTGTCCTCGACATGCTTGGGCGCCATGTAGAGCTTTTAGAAATGAGAAAATTGTCAGAAGAGGAGAAATTTTTACACCAAGAACTGCAAATTCCTATTGAGTGGATTTATCAAGCCAAGGCAGTTCGTGCTTCATGCATGCATCAGTACCCAGACCAAGTTTGGTATCTACTGAAAGCATCAGAATGGAATGAAGCTCACCAGGTATTGTCTCATATATACTCTCAATCATTCTTTATTCAAATCAAAACATCAATCATTCAATACCCCTGAATTTTTGTGATTGCAGGTCATTATGGAACACTTAGCTGCAGATGCTATAATTAATGAGCATTATGTGTACCTGGAAACACTTTTGAAGGAGTTAGAACCTGTTGAAAGAAGTAGTACCATATCGGGTTGGTCCAATCAAGGAGCACTGTTGTGGGATTATTTGACAGTTCATAAGACAGTCAATGAACTTCTAGATTTAGTAGCTTCAAATCCAGACGGCTTTAGAGATAATGATGCAAGCTACAAGCTGGAAAGGATACAGCCCCAGCTTAGCAGGCTGTGTTCAAGAATCAATAATTTGCCTTGCAGAAATGCCAAGGATAGGTGAGTTCAGTCAATTGTGAAACTGCATAGGAAAGAGACATTCACTGTGTATGAAATTGTATAACCTATGACTTAATCCATATTTCAGGCTGTGTCAATGTGAAATTGCTAAACGAGCGTGCACCCTTGTTCGCAATGTCACTCAATTACAGCGTGGTGAATCAGCTGTTTGGTCAATGACTCTATCCAATCTTATTGCCCAATTGCCTCTCCCAGAAGACTACACTCAACAAGAATTACAACAATTGCTGAATGCATACATGACATAGACCACCTTTGGTGTTTGGATTAAGATACTGTAGATTATTTCTATTTGCTTAGAAATTCATCAGCCATGATTTAAATTTGTAACATTTTAACTTTTTGCCTTGGCGATCAGGATTTCAAATGTTCAATTAATTTAATTTAAATGTGTAAACTTGATTGTGATATGCTGCATGTCACTTTTTGCTCATTAAACATGTCTCCTGGTCTCCTGGTCAAAATTATATGTTTCAACATTGTATTTTGTTATATATTAATGCATGGCATGGCGCCTTTCTCACTTTCTCTGAGTATGTAATAACTAAGAATTACTGATCAAGATCGCTAATCATGTTTTACTAAAATGGTGCATTTTTAACCTCAAGCAAAGACAGTTTTCAAACTTACTCTACTATTAGTTTATTGACTGTAGTAGTGAACCGGGGCATGTAGCAATGTCACCAGTATTTAGTCAAAGGAAAAGGAAAGTGAGGCATCTAAGTATCTAATTCTGAACCTGAACCTGTTCCAAGTTTAACTTTTTCTGAAGCTTTTGACTAGCTGAATTGGAGCTATTGTAAATATTTGTTATAGTTTTTATTTTACATGTAAGGTATATTTTTCATAAGATGGACTTGATTGTACAGACACTTTCTATACTTTTACTTTTTTTGCCAAGGGTTAGTTGTTTTGTGAACGTACTTCATTTT